GATCATTAAGTTGGATAAAAAGAAGCAGTAACTTTAAAATTACATGTGTGTTTTGAAAAGCACTGTGGCAATTGGACAATTAAAACAGACATTGGGGGGGAAGAAGAACAAACTGGGGAGGAGGGTGGAGAAAACAGTGTAACAATGAATGAATGAAAACCCAAAATCTCTGTAAATGTTCATTAAAACTAATAAAATTTAATTTAAAAAATTGCATGTATGTATGTATGTAAAATATGTGCTTCCTTATTCTATTCAAACAATCGCTTTTTGATTTATGTACAGATTTCACATTAACACAATTAAGTGTTCTGGGATTAAGTGTTCTGGGAATACAAGTAAGTGTTTTGGTAACAAGAGAACACTGCAGGGTTTAAAAGTAGGAAAGGTGTCCATCATTATTTTTATTTATAATAATTATATAAAATCTTTACCTGATGTAAAATTGTATTTTATAAAGATGTAAAATATATTTCTATACTATACAATATATTTTATTTATAAAAACAATATTTTATAACTATAAAGTATATTTATATAAAGGAGTTGCTCTGCCAATTCAGAGGAACTCAGTTCAAATCCACCAGCAGGGGAAAAACAGTCTCTTCCCATGTGATTTTCTATCTCTGAAAGCCTACTGGAGAGGGTTTTGAGGAGATAAAAGTCAATTCCAACTTGTTGATACACAATAACAATAACATAAAAGTATATTGAAAAACAGAAAATCATATTTTATAAGCAATACATTTAAAAACATATTTAATAAGTAATAAATATTAGAAACAGCATAAGAACATTTTATAAGTAATAAAGTAAGTATTAGAAACAACATAAAAGACTCATCCTGCTATCCCTTTGTAATTTTTTAAAATCACAATATTTTAGACTGATAATACTTTCAAAGAATTTAAGCTCAAAAGAGACAGATGAACACCCGTGAATTACTCTCCTCCAGCCCTCTGGGCGGTAACTCCCATCACCAGTTGCCTATGTCTTCATTTTCACATTAAAGTTATTGTGTTTCCTTTAGCTATAGGCAAAAACTGCACTTTCTCCTCTTACTTTGTGCCATTTCACAGTCTTCTCCACTTTGTACCATATCACAGCCTTCTACTACATTTTCACTTGGTTAACCTTCCAAGCGAAAAGGGCTCTAGGCACAATATCCTCCAGTAAGTCTTCCTCAGTTTTATACAACTGTGGTAAAGAAGCTGCACTGCAATCCCAAAGGCACATGGTCCAAATCCCCCAGCAGCTCTAAAAGAGAAAAGATGGGCAATCTCCTCCCTAACAATTAACTGCCTCTGAAAACTAGAGGAACAGCTATGAGTCAGTTCTAACTCAACAATATACAACAACAAGAAGAAAGATCTTAAAAGAGCAAAAATGGTTTACTAGTTCATCTAATACAATATGAATTCAGGAATGCATGAAACACAATGTACATGAGTGATACACAATATATACATATATATATATAGAGTATGCAAACCAATATAAAAAAATATAGTGGGGGGGAGAATCTTGCTGGAGAGTCAGCCACAGGTTGGTTCTAACTCAGCAGCAATGGGAAGGGCTTGTTTGGTTAGTTTGTATTGGTAAAATGAAGCCTTTGTGGGGGAAGAAGCCTTGGTGGCATCATAGCTGAGCAGCTGGTTGCTAATTAAAGGGTTGTGGTTTGCTCTCAGCGAAGAGCTCCATGTTGAAAGACCTGTCAAACGGCTCCAATAAATTCTGTTGTTGTTTGTTGTCATTAGGTTGGTTGCAACTCACAGTGACCCTATAGGACAGAGAAGAACTGTCCTCCCAGCGCTCCTGAACCACAGTCTTAATGGGAGCAGATCACCAGGTCTGTTCCCCCTGGGGGGCCACGGGTGAAACATAACACTCACAGCCCAGAAAACTCCATGAGGCGGTTCCTCTCTTCTCCACACAGGGTCTCTATGAATTGAAATAGGTTTCATATCCTCTAACAACAGCCCATTGTGAAAATGCTGGCCAGAGTGCGGAGGGATTAGAACACTTACACCGCTGGTCTCTGATTTTTTCTCACTGCCGTCGAGTCAGAACCAACATATATGCTGACCCTCTAGCATGATTTCCTTTGTGAAGTCTTTCCCTATCTTTTGCCCATTTTCTTATTTGGTTATCAGTCTTTTTTTTACTTGTGATTTTAATGAAAGTTTCCAAAAGTGGTGCATTTTTATTCACTGATGCATTTTTCTCCCTCCCTCATTTTTTCCCTTCCCCCAATTAACTTTGCAATGCATCTCTTGTTCCTGATCGTTAATTGTAATACATAGAATATCTAATCACTCATTCTTTTCATACAGTCCTTTCCTTCATCTGTTTCAGTGCAGTGTTCATTATCTATCTATTCTTCCTGTTCTCCTCCCCCACCCCTGTCAATCTATTTTATAATAGCAGTGTTATGCAGTATTTGTCTTTCTGTGACTGAGATATTTCACTCAGTATAATGTATTCCAGACTCACCCATGCCATGTACTGTTTTACAACTTCAATGTTGTTCCGTGCTTTGTAATATTCCATTGTGTGGCTGTACCACACTTAACCTATCCATTCATTTGCTGACAGTTAGGTTACTTCCATTTCTTCACTATTGTTAATAACACAGCAATAAACAAAGGGATGCATACATCTGTTTGCATCACAGCTCTGGTTTCTTTAGGGTATACTCCTAGTAGAGGGATTGGCAGTCAGAGAAACTAAAATCAAAACAATGAGATACCATCTCACCCCAGTAGCAGTAGCAAAGTTTAATAGCACAGAAAGCAATAAAAAAGGATGTGGGGAGATTGGGAACTCTCATGCACGGTTGATGGGACTGTGAAATGGTGCAACCACTCTGGAAGGCACTTCTTCAAAAAGCTGAACAGAAAAATCTCATATGGCCAGCTATTCCACTGCTAGGAATATACTGCAAGAAAAATGGATTTGAAGCATGACGGAGACATGTACAATTACAATATTATTCACAACAGCAAGAAAATGGAAGCCCAAATGCCCATCAACAAATGAAAAGACTGAGAAATTGTGGCATTCAAAATGACTTTCCTAGTCATTAAATTTAACTTTTCCATGTGGATTGGTGGGATTCTGTAAAAAAGTTGTGTTCGCCTATCCACACAGGGATTGGGTAGTCCCACCAATCCACAAGAGCATTCACTATAATCTCTCCTTTAAATTGAGCAGGTCCAGCAGTAGGAAGGATTATCCTTGACAGCAAAGAAAAAACAAAAGAATGTAGCATGTCTTTCAGGCCAGTTCTTGCTCCAGCTAGACCTATGGTGGCAGAAGCCATGGCTAAAGTATAACCAGACAGCCAATATGAGATGGAGCTGACCTTGAAACTGCTTTCTCCCACAGACAGAAAGAGAGCCAAGCTGTGAGGAAGGGCAGGGGGTAGCTGGCCTAAAGTCATGAGACTCAAGGCTAAGGTGCCCACGAACACATTTTGGAAGCTGTTCTGCCTGTATTATGCTACCTATATTAATAGCCTTTTTTCTTCCCCAATATAGTTCTGTGCGGTCCGTGGCCGATCACATCAGTTTTGAACCCAGGAAAGCAGTAAAGATTGGTGTTGGGATGAACTGAAAGATGTGCTAGAGCATAGGGGATATGTGTGACCTCATGGAAATTGGTTTTGTGTTGCTGATCTTGTTTCCAGGGACACATTCCGTTTGTGAAGTTGGCAAAGGTCAGATATTGCTGTCCCCATGTGGCCTTGCTCTTTTTACAGTAGTACTTTCACACAATGGAATACTAAGTACTATGCAATACCAAAGAACAATGATTTCATAAAACACTGTATAACATGGGAAAGTTTAAAGAGCATTATGCTGAGTAAACTAACTCAGCCTCAAAAAGACAAATATTGCAGAAGACCATTATTATAAATATAGAAGGATACTAGTAAGGTGTATATAAATGTCCAAGAGAGAAAGCAGGCAGAAAATGGGAAAGAGAAGAATCCCTAGGATAGCAGAATTTAATGGGTAGGTGTTGGGGTGGGTTAGGGAACAGGGAAGATTCAATGGGTACTCAAAAAGACAGATAACAATAGCATAGATTAATAGTAAATTGATTGTATGAAACAAAATGCAAATGAAATAAAAATGCAATGTACCTGAATGAAACACAATGTATGTGAATTATTGTACAAAAATGAATTTTAAAAAGTTGAAAATAGAATTAACATTTGAATTCGCAATCCCTCTAGCAGGTATAGAGCCTGAGCCATGCATGCCATAACCAGACAGATGCACATTCAGGTTCATTGCAGCATTATTCACAGTAGCAAAGAGATGAAAAGAGCCAGAGCGTCCACTGTAAGGTTCATAGATAAAGGAACTACGACACATTCACACAGTGGAGTACTATGCAACATTTAAAGAAAAAAAAAAGAATGAAAAAAATAATGTATAACACAGAAAACCTAGAGGACGGTATGTTAAATGAAGCAAGCTTGTCACAAAAGGACAGATATTGCCCAAGAAAGTTAAAGAAAGGTTTACACACAAAATCCTTTTTGAGGGATGAGAAGGGAGAGAAAGGAGAGTAAAAATTAATAAATAGATGTTAGAAAATTATTAAGATGGGTAAAGGGGCAGGAAATATACAATAAGGGTATGATCAGACATTGTGGATAAATGTCATAAAACGGATAGTCAGTGTTTAAAATGTGTAGGAATTACTGGATGAAAATTCTGCAGAATCTGTAACCTTTCACTCAAATCACAATTTTTAAAGTTGTTTTTTTTTAAAAAAGAACCTTTTATGATTCTTTTTTGTGATATCAGTCATGAAGTATATTTTCTCACCTTGTCTGACCTTAACATCCAAATCCTAATGACACAGAGATATTAGTGAATTCAGAAAAATTTTGGGTCTAATTCTGTGTTCAACAACTCAACATATAACTTGTTGAGAGTCTAGACTACGGGGCTAAGTGGAACCAACTTGTGCCAAAGGAGGCTCACCTGCTCACTCCACCACGTCACCGCCACGTGAAGGCTGTAGTCGCAGCAGACTTTGGGGTCAGCCCAGCTTCTCCACGTCTCGAAGGCCTCTATGAGGGAGCCGCCTTTCTGAGGAATGGCAAAATCGATGATCATCGTGGTGCCTCCTGCCAGAGCAGCCTGAAATCACAAGGTGGGTTCAACAGGTCAGTCATCCACCTCTTAACCAACCCATTTGCCACCTGGAAGGATGCAGTTGCACATGTGAGCTCTTCACTAAGGCCAGAAGGGTTCCGGCAATTGCACAATAGTGCTGCCTATGTAATGAGTCTAAAGGGATAAGCACAGACTTTCTAGAAATTAAAGTTTGATGTATTCAGACTGCTGTAACATTTGCAGAAAATAAATAAAACATACATACATACATAAAAAAAGGAAGGAAGAAAGACGTGTCTTGGGAAATGAAAAAGGTTTTCAGTCCTCTAAAACCCAAGTCTAGAATGGTACTTTAAAGAAAAGCGAAAATAGAGCAGACTGTAAAATCTTTTTCTTTTCCAGAAACTATATTCTGAATTAGAAAATCCCTATAGAATTAGGGTTAATCATGGTGCATCTGTCCCCAAGGCCACACGATCCATGCAGGATTCCTGCGGTGGCCTCCTCACCCCAGTGACTCTTTAATCTTTGTTTTTACGTCTGTTTCTGGTAATCCATCTTTACTGCTGTGGTCATGGTACAGACCTTTCCCATCTTCCACCTTGTCTATTCTCCCTTCACTGGTCTTTACATCATCAGTCCCCACCCCGAACACTCACACTTACCCCAATTTAAGGAAATCTCTGAGTAGCTCAAATAGCTCAATGCATGACTACTGGCTAAAAGGCTGGAAGTTCAAACACACCCATAGGTGCCTCAAAAGAAAGGCCTGGCGTTCTGTTCCCACAAAGTCACAGCATTTGAAAACTCCCATGGAGTAATTCCACTCAGCATAACACAGAATCCACAAACAACCAAATTCTAGTCCAAAACCCCTTGCTGTGACAGGAAGAGAGTATTCCCAAAACACAATAATGAGGTCTTGACTGCAAAGCTTCAATCTGAATGCTTCTCACTGCCTCAGAAAGAAAATCTTCCGTTCTGGGTGGAAAGGAGACTTATTTCTTAGATGACAGTGAACTTCTGTTAAGGGTGATGGACAAATCTGGAAACAGATACTGATGATGGTTGTATAACAAGATGAATGTGATTCATGTCACTGAATGTGCATGCAAAAAGAGTCGAAAACAGCAAACATTTGCACCTTCTGGGGAGGAGGGGGATTTAACCATATTAACACCATTTACAGGTTCTGCGTGACCTCAGCTCTTGGCCTGCTCCTGGGCATACTATATTCCATTACTTTATGACTCATTTAAAAACTAAGTTGCTCAGTGTCTTAGACTAATTATTTAAATTAACTGCAGATAAAATGAAATCACAAGGTGGTTAATGTGCTTTTAATTGTTGTACTCAAACACTGTGGGGGAAGGAAACGAACGTAGGCAGAGAGGTATATTAAGAACAAAAGTTGGAGGCTGAGCCATGAGCTTCAGGGTACAAAGCCTGGACCCAATACATATTCGCTGCAGTACCTTGGCAGTTTCTTAACTTCTCCATGCCTGAATTCCTTATCTGTGAGGTGAGAAAAATAACTGTACTCTCAACTGCATATAACAAAACCATATTTTTAGTTAGAAGGATTAAATGATATATAAAGTGATTAGACTCGTGTTTGACCCATAACCATTGTTTTATAAGCTTCAGCTGTTATTACCAAGTTGTATCATGAGCCTTTGGATTTGCCAAGTGGCACAAATTATTAATCACTTGACTACTAACCAGAAAGTTGGCAGCTCAAATCCACTTAGAGTTACCTCTAAAGACAGACTTGGTCTCCCACCTCTGAAAAATCAGCTACTCAAAAGTCTAAGGACAAAAATTCTACTCTTAACATACGTTGGAATCACTATGCACCAAGTAGTTTGGATTTTTATCTTGGGCTTTTGGATTGATGCTTCAGAATCAGGGATCTTTCTACTCTTCAGACATTGCCTCGTCTCCTTACTAGACTTGTGATCACATTATAACACAGAAGGGGACGCTGCCACTAGCTTGCCAAGAGGCTACAACTGCATACTCTTCATCACTCATGCCCACAGCCATCCAGATAATTAGGAGGATTCCTAATCAGGCTTCATTGCAAATCTTCCACCTTTATAAGTAACTGCTGCCATTGTTACTATGTACCATGCAGTCAGAACTCACTCATAGCTGACCCTCCAGCAGGTTTTCAGAGGCAAGTCAATTGCACAGAAGTAGACTGACCCTCTTTCTCCAGAGGAGGGGCAGGTGGCTTTGAACTGCATGACTTTAGGTTTGGCAGCACAATCCGTTACCATTAGGCCACCAGAGCTGCTTTCTAAAGAACTAGAAGCAGAAAAGGAAGAAGTGAGGACCCCAAGCTCTGTTACAAGGAAAAGTCTCTAAACTAATGTGTTTTTGCTTCCACAAATCTATTACTTTAGGATGGACTCCTTTATTCACAAACCAACAAATCAGAACATCCTGTTCTCAGACTAGATTAGACATTTCCAATATTCATTTAATTGTACTTAGTATTGGATGTTTTTAGATTCACTTCATAAAAAACCATCAGGATTTACCTAACATTTGAAGAGTGAAGAGGGGTTAGCGGAAAGACAGCAATGACATGAATAATTCTTTCATATTCCTATAAACCTAATTGTTTCTTTTGTTTTTCACTCCTGATTGACTCCTCCACACTTTTATTTGTCACTTAGCCAAACAAAATACATTTACCTTTCCTAATCTTGGCTCATAAATCAATTCTTTCAGCTCCTAATTACTTTGGCTGCTCGCCCTTGAAAACCTTCCAATTTATCTAAAACCTTCTTTACAGGGGGCAGGGAAGCATGTGCTAGCTCAGGTGCAAGTGATGAAACAGAAATCAAGATAAGCTTTAAGCAGCGGGAGTCAGAATGTTACATAACACAAGACTTTACTTAAGAATGCAGCATTCGGTTGGAAATTAGTATTGAAAGCATGGTCACTCCAAATTTTCATTTCTAAGCAAGTGGCTCTGCATCACCAAAATCAATCACAAGATCTGCTCAGCCCAAGAAAACAAAACAAAAAAACAAACAAAAAAAACCCAAACAACCCAACAGGGCAACTGAGATGTATGGAGAAAAACACTTGGCTGAGTTGTCCATTTGCTCATTTTCCTAAGGTGTACCAAAAGCAAACTTCATGATCTCAATCGATGTTTCAACTCCAGAAGCATGTTCACGGTCATGAAGATGTTCTTCACGTACACGTGTCCTCTCAACAACTGTCCTTTTGCTCACCACCTCCAAGATCAAATTCGTAATCACAACACCATCCATGCAGCTGTACAAACCAGAGGCTTGACTAAGTCTTGCTAACATCTCCGTATCCTCAGATCCAATCTATGAGCAATCCCTCTTGAAGTTATTTCTTTTTTGAATTTTTTTATTACTTTTAATGAAAGTTTACAGAGACTTTGGAATTCCATTCATTCATTGTTGCACTTTTCTCCCTGCCCACCCCTCCCCCCAGTTCACTCTTCTCTTTGAAAAGTAAAATAAAAATTCTTTCATTTTTATAAAATCCCTTCTCTCAAAGTCCACTTCACTATGCGGCCTTTGTTCTGGACTCTGTCATGACAATAATACCTAATAATGTATCCCTTTTAAACAGTTCTCTCCCTTATCTGTTTCAATGCAGTTTATGTCATTTATCCCATCTTTCTCAGTCTCCCCCACAACCCCGACGTCAGTCCTGTTTTACAACAGTGGCACTATGTAGTATTTGTCCTTTTGTGCTGAGATACTTCACTCAGCATGATGTCCTTCAGGGTCACCCATTTTGTATATAATGTTTCATGAGTTGCGTGTTTTTTCAATGCAGCATAGTATTCCATTGTGTGAATATATCAGAGCTTATCTATCCATTCGTTTGTTGATGAGCACTTAGGTTGTTTTCGACTCTGCTATTGTGAACAAAGCCACAATAAACACGGGTGTGTATTGAGGTTATTTCTTATATCCTCCATTAATTTCCCCACCTCCAAAATCTTCACCTCTACTGACCAATCCCACATCTTCTTCCAACTGGATTAATACAGCAGTCTTTTCACTCTTATTTCACTTCCAGCTCGCATCATGATTTCTACCTCTAAACTTTCAATTATTTCCATTTTGCTCTTGTTGTTGTTGTGTATCCTCATGTCAGAATTGACCCACAGGTGACTGTGGTGTTGGTCTACAAGTTGACTCTCTTAGCCATTATAGTTAGCCTCATCTAATCTCTAACTACCTTAACTATAGACACATGGTCTGGCAAATCATCATTTTCTTGCAAATTACCAACAGCTGTGGGACTAGAATAAGAAAAAGAGTGCTTCCAACACTGGGTTGCAAGACTTGAGGAAGATTGGAGCAAGATCCTGGTGGTAGAGAGACTTTGGCACTGCTGTGGAGAAACTGGAAGATATGATCTGAGCCTCTTGCATTTATTCTGGCCACAGTTAAAAGTGTTTGCTGTTCTTGCTGGATGCTTGAAGAAGCCAACGTATAACTACCTTGAGGCAAATAGTGCTGGATGATTTGAATCTGTGTTGCTGAACTGAAACCAGAGCCTGTGCTAATTGAGGAATTGTGCCTTGGAACTGCGGGCTAAAACCTGGATTTGTTTTGGGAGATATTCTTTGCTTCATCTACTCTCAACTTAATTCCCTAGTAAACCCCATTCTCAGTCCCTCAGCTGTGAGTCTGTGAGTCAGTAACAAATAAACGAACCTCTTGATGTTGGTGTGTCTATGGGCCTGGGCTGTGTTTTTTGCTCTGGGGCAGTGAGGGACTGTGTGCTCTTTTTACTCCCTCTGGCCACTTCAGAGAGATACTCATGGTGCTGTGCCCTAGTCCCATTTCTCCCCCTCCTCTTTAGAAAGTGACCCTACAGTGGGTTTTCAGAGGCAGTAAACTGCATAGGAGGAAACTGCCCATCTTTTTACTGCAGAGCAGCTGTTTTATTTGAACCATGTTCCTTTGGGATTGCAGTGTAATTTTTTTACCACTAGGCCACCCAAGCTCCTTCTT